GGGGGGATGAGAGTGAGGAAGGGTTTGTAAACACTAGGTAGACAAAGCCGTGAGTTTTTTGGGGACTGAATTCAGTAAGCCATCCTGAAATAAAAAGGGAAGAAAGAATTAAAAAGCTGGAACTTTTAATGTGTCAGGACTACCCACTGAAACACAAACGTATCAGTTATTTATGCAGCTGTAGCTGGACAAATTGAAGGTACTGTGTATTTCTCTGCTTTCTGATGGAAGGAGCCTCCTTTCTTGTACTCAAGACTTCTGCTAGGCTTCTAAAACTTTGTGAACAAGCACACTACATGTATGTGCATGACAAAAGTAGGCAGGGCTTTATTTTGGGTTTATTTGACCTTTAAGACTGTACCTGATTTTGAAAGTGAGAGAAAAGAGAGAGACGGAACACCTGAGGATATTTAACTGCCGGCACACCAGAGCGTAAACATGTCAAACAGGTATGAGAAAAGTGCCAAGTCTCACTTCCACACAACCATTAGTGTCTCTGCATTTGCTCTAAAGAGGGGTTTTTAATTTCTTTTTATCAAGCTGTAAAAACAACCACTTTGTGGCAAATGCACAAAATGCCGATTAATTCAGACAGGATCAGCTTTTAGTGTTTGACAGTCATACTGAGAAGACAAAGTGATGTGGAGCCAGACTACGGAGTGTCAAGAAACAGCGAGCGCAGGCCCGAGGCAAGCCTGGAGCCCCGGACGCCCGGACACAGGCTGTGCCGTGAGCTCACCCTGCAGCGCCAGAGGCGGGCACGCGAAGCCGTGACAGCAACGGGTCCGACCGACTGCTCAGCGACCGTCAGGCGAGACGGGTAACGGGCCAGGGCCCACCCAGCACCCCAGACAGAGGACAAGGGACAGACACCCCCAGGACACAGCTCAGGCGGGAACCAGCGGCACCAGCCCGAGCTTCAAGGGAACCTTGGCCAGGGGACACGGGTGGAAGCTCCAAGCAAGACTGGGCAGGCCAACGACCTACTCGTGCTCCCGGCCCCCCGACGCAGAGAAGCATCAATGGATTCCTGAACAGGAGGGTTCATAACTCTGACAAACTACTAAGTTACGGTAAGCGTACTGATTCTAACTGCAACAGTCATGCTTAATGTTTCCGTGCAATGTCTCCTTCTTCAGAGCACATAGCCCAGGAAAACAAGAACACTAAAGGCTTTAAAAATCCCATACATGTATGTAAAGCCTCGTTCTGATAATGCAGGGCGTTCCACTAAAAACAGGGGGGTGGAGCTTTATCTCCTCCTGCATGACAACTCCATTATACACCCACACTTTCCTGAGCTCATATCATGTAGAAACTGCTCCAATCCACCTGACAGAGGACTGTGCAATGGTGAGAGTTGAGTTCATTACATCACTGTTAAATTGTATGGTGCCAGAGAGAATTTCCCTTCTTCAACTACATATTAATAGCCTGTTTGTTAAAAGACAAAAAAAGTTTATTTAATCATAAAGAAGCCCATTTTATTAAACTATTTCTTTCTGGGTAACATTCAGTGACAGTCATACCGCTCAGCAGTAAATAATCAACTGAACAGTGTATAACCAGGCATAACAGTTAAGTTAATCTCCTTACTTAAAGATGTTCTGATTGCGTCATCCTTGTTCGTGGCTGAGCAATACCTAACTCCCAAGAACGGCTCAGCTTAAGTCAATAAGCTGAAAGAATTACAATATTCAGGCTCTGAAGGATGATAAATCAGAGCCTGCATGCTTTCAAATACTCTAGAATCTTAATTGGACTGGAAAGTATAGTAATTAATTTGGCTCAAGAAATACAAAGACTATTAGACCACTAGATGAGCACTTTGTATTGACTAAACCCCGGTGGTTTTATTGCCCATTCACTTTACTGACCTAACCATTTCTGCTATGCAGTACTTTGCATGTTTTAAGAATATAGATTGAATTCAACTCAGCTACTTCAAAAGCTTACTTTTAATAAAGTAAGCACTTGTATCAAAGGAGACATCTGTAAATTCAACTGAGTTATTGCTCGCATCTCATCAACAATCTGTTGAAGACCTCTTGCAAAAACTTAGAATAGGCCTAGATTTATAAATCCAAGTTCATCTCAAAATTCTCCACAATAATCCAAATGAAGAAAAGGTGTTTAAACTGTTTCCAAGATCAGCACAACGTAGAAATCCCACGAAGGTATCACTACCGCCAAAGTGCAGATGCTTCTGAAATACCATAACTGCACAAAAACCTTAAGAACATCCAGTCATCTTTGCAATCAGGGTTTTACCATAATACACAATAAATCACACTGCTGTTCAGAAAGTCTCTTGTCTATTGGGTAAATACATTTTTTAAAAATATCCATTAATAGAGATAGTCACCACAGTCCACTAAACAGTGTATGTCTTTAACAGTGTCTAGATACGTATTTATATCATACCCTACTGTAGTCAATAATGTGCATTTAAAGTCTTCCAAGTATGGATTATGAAAATACGTATTTAAAACACGTATTTACATGACTGACTAATTTATCTAGAAAGCTATCACAAACCTTTCTGTTCACTCTCACACAGTTCTACGGGGATCTTTATTTTTTCCTCTAATATTATAATTTAATATGCATAAGAAAAAGTCAGGATTATCAGTCCTGTGCTGCCTAAAGTTTTGGGGTGCAACTTTCTATTGACTTCTTTAGAGAGAAATTTTGAATTAAAATCTTGTAATGACAAAAAGGTAAAAATGAAACAGATCTGTACTGCATTTCTAATTCTTTCTTGATACCACACTGAATGTTCAGTGAATTATGATATATACTTTATGTCTTATCTATTCCAAGAAAACAAACTCATTATAAGAACATTCAACATGATCATGAACTTTCCGACTACAAGTAATAAATATGTCATACAGCTCAGAGTACACAGACGCATCTCCACATTAGATAGACACCTGATTTAGAGCCCAGTTCTGCTATGGGAAGAAACGTTCCTCTTATTTTGAGATATTAGAAAGCTAATAGCTCACACACACAAAGTGTGATGGTCTTATATGTGTCCTCTGCTGCATTAATTTTATGTTTATGAAGAGAGAAACAGCAGCCACATAAATGGCCTAAAATTTCTCTGTTACTTCCACCTCAAAGTACAACCCCAACTCTCCCAGCCTGTCCTCACAGGGGGTGCTCCAGCCCCCCCAGCATCTCCGTGGCCTCCTCTGGCCCCACTGGAGCAGGTCTGTGTCCTTCTGCTGTTGGTGCCCCAGAGCTGGGCCCAGCCCTGCAGGGGGGTCTCCCAGAGCGGAGCAGAGGGGAGAATCCCCCCCTCGCCCTGTGCCCACCCTGCTCTGGGTGCAGCCCAGCACACAAGGGCTTTCTGGGCTGCCAGCACACACCGGTGGCTCACAGGCAGTTTTCCCCCCAAAACCCCCCCAAGTCCTTCTCCTCGAGGCTGCTCTCCATCCCTTCCTCACCCAGCCCACCTAAAACATGCACTGCAAATCCTAGGCAAAGTGGACCAAATTTATGTCAGAGGAAGACACGTTTAAACCATCCAAATCCAAATTCCACCTACTTCTAACACTTCTGAGTATATTCAAATGTGAATAAAGTGTAAAATCAACTTTCAGCTTTAATATGAATGTACCCCACTGGTATGAAATCTGAACCTCAGAAGGTGAAATTAATTACATAACTACACAAGGATTTGCCAGCAGGAGCTAAGGAGGCTTTATCTGCAGCAGTGTCACAGCCAAGAGCTTCCACACCACATGACACTTCTAAATAGCTTATTTTCCTTGGATTGAGGACGTCCTTCCTGCATGGTACATGTGTGTGACTATATGAAATCAAGAAAGGGAAATGCAGGCCAAGCTACAAGAAATAACAGATCTCAATAGAAAGTTTCATACCTCATCAAAAGCTCTTCCAAGGTAAACAGAAGGACCTCCTCCACTTGGGAAAATAATATTTTTAGTAAAATTTTACTAAAAAAAGAAGGGTGTTTTTAGTAAAAAACTGACATTATCACTTCACAGCAGTAACTAGCAATCCTAATTATACTCAGGTTTTGGTTGTACCCACTACTGGCAAAAGAAATCATAGGAAAGTAGTTCTTCCTAGAGAGGATCTAAATATGCAGATATTAAAAAGTAAACCAGCTAATTTGAGTCCAAAGTAATACAATTTGACACTTCATATATTTTCTCTAAATAATGTTTCTTAAAATAATGATAAAAGCTTTCTTTAAAGACAAAGCCATCATCCATCTGAAGCTCAGTGATTTGTAAGCTAACAGCTGAACTACAGTGCACTACTATAGGAGATTGCTTATGGTACCACCACTGCCAAGAGCCTGATTCTGCAATGAAGTCAGAGAATTTTACCATTGATTTCAACAGTCACATGACAGCAGTTCCATGAAAGAAGATACTACTTTGGTTAAAAAATAAAGATCTCACAATTCATAAAGTCAATGTCATTGTTCTTGACAAAACCTTCGTACTTAACCCAATTTAAGAAAAACTTGATGCAACTCATGGAGCCAGCTTACAGTTATCCCAACAAAGACTGAACTTAAGGAATCACTAAGAAGCTTGTTTACGAAGATGAATTTATGATCCTTCTCACACATGCGCACAGACAACGCAGCTAAAAGTGAGAGAGCATAAGAGGAACAGGCTTATCAAAACCTTTTAGAGCCATGTTCACATGAGCAGCCAACCATTCTGTCCCGTACCTTGGGCTCCCGGCAGTCAGTCTAACTGATAATAACCAGTCATCTGATAGGATACTTGCTACCTCCAAGAGAAATCTGAGGCAGTTACAGAACTGTTCACGCACCCTAACATCAGCTGTCAACCAGGGGCTTGACTCATCTCTTCTAAGGAATCAGATCGATGCCACAAGTTAAAAGACCAAAACTTTTGAGAAGAATTTGCCTTTGTCATTTATAAATGCTGAAACTCTGAGGAATCCTTGAGATTCCAAGAAGAGAAGTTTAAGATACCTGTATCTCTGAAAAAACATACCTGTGGGCTAATAAATAACCAGTTACTAGGAGAGACAAAGTCAAGAGAGTAACTATTACAACAGCAACCTAATTTAAAAGGAAAACCATGTTGTACATGCTGAATTTGGAAACGCTGCACTTTCCTTTTGTAAGTCTTTAACATTATGTGATCTAACAGGGAAACCAGATCTGAAATCAAACCTTGTTTCCCCATAAAAGACTAATTACTCAAGATTCCTGCAAATGGGGTAACACAATACACACTACCACTAACGAAATCCCCATGAGCAAATGGGGTAAAAGGAAGTAAACACACTGACGACATGAAACAGTTAAAATAACCAGAATTCTAGTCAGAATAATTCTTCCGAACTGCAAGTTGACTACAGATACATTGCCCTCCTCCGTCAAGTTGCATAATTAAAGGATCAGCCCTTCTTACCTGAGTAACATGCTTTGGAAAATTAATGTATTTATTTACAGATTAACGTATTATGACAACACAACACTCGGTACTTCCTGTCATGACTTTCTTACCACAGCGTTCCTGCTTACAAATGTCAAGTGAGGAAGAGACACGGCACTTATTGAACTCTATTGTATTTTGCCTTTCTGAACACCGTATTCCTGTTCTTCCAACTGAAAAATACTTTGTGCCTGACTTCCTGCCATCAGTGCTGAATGCCCGTGGCCCTAGGCCTGGTCCCTCTGCAGTAACCCGGAAAACCATGTGAACTCCGCGAGGGTGGAACAGGTTCTCTCAGAAGTTCAGCACCCACAGGCTCACCTATCCAGATTTCACCTTCGAAACACTCCAATTTCTTTCTGGCTTGTTTTCCCTCCCTAAAAACAGGCTTTTTTACATTTTCCGTTTGGGAGGAAGCCAAGCTGTGGATGTTCTGCTGGCCAGACCAAGGTTCAGACCTCAGCGGTGAATCCCGGGAGTTCCCGCGCTGGGCATGCCGGCAGCACGCCCGACGCCGAGGCGAGGGCCGCTCGGCCCGTGTGTGCAGGGCAGCCAATGGCGGCGGCCGCCGGGCTCCCGAAAAGCCCCTGTCTCCAAGGGGCTTTGCTCATCCTGCAGATTTGTTTTGCCACGGAAATCTCGCGCACGTTGGAAGAGGAAATCGCTTTTGCAGCGACACCTTCAAACGGGCCGAAGAAGCTCCGCAAGCCCCGTGTCCTCTGTCGCAAACACATCAGCTTCCCGGGAGCAAGGAGCGCGGGGCTGGCGCGCCGGGATGCGGCTCTGCCCCGGTGACCTTCCCCGGCGGGATCCGCCCAGGGCCGGGGGCT